TTTCAGAGATGCGCTGAAATGACCGTATTCTACGCCCCAGCCCCAGTGTAGAGCGACATCAAGAGTCCTCCATGAATCGGACTTAACATCGTAGATTTCGCATACCTCTTCCCCGGGACTATAATTATACCTTAAGATCTTGTGGTTACGGTTGGTGCACTTGTCGTATCCGAGAGCATATACGTCTGATCTGTCGAACACTCTTATTCTTGGTCGGATCCACCTTGTTTGTCCCAGATACGGGTTCCAGAGCATGAGGCGTTGGATATGGTTCCCTGTCTGGGTGACGCATAACAACAAGCCGTCGCAGACAAGAACTTCACATATCTCAACTTGATTAAATGAATCACTTATCTCCTTTACAGCGAATTCTTCGTGGATATCAAATCTCAATGAACACAGCTTAGAATTCTTTATCATGAACCCTATATATGGATCCTTTGCTTCTGCTTTACATAAAATCTGGGATTTGGATAAAGTGTTCCATCTTTTGCAAGTCGAACTCACTGCTCCTACACAGGTTATAGGAACCCTTTTGAGTATTTCTTCTACCAGATCAAACGGAAGATCAGAGATGGTCGCCATTGTTTCAACAAGAAATTAGGGTTTTAACTTCCCACTGTTTTATAGACGACGATTCGTATGAATTTATTTTTTTTAAATAGGTCGGCCCGTTTTCAATTTACAATTTTAAAAAGCCTTAAAACTATACACATATATTTGTTTGAAGCCCAATGTACATCACCATTTACAAATTGAAACCAAGATAAGTAAAAAAAAAAAAGTGACATGGGTTTAAGATTTAACATGTGAGATGAGAAAATCAAGACGTATGAAGCCGGCAGATATGTACGATCCCACTGCCCACTGCACTTCAACACAAGCACCATCGTTGCTCTGTCTTTAATTAGTGATCTCCGAGGTAAGTGATTCCACGGTGTAAGCTTCATCTACAACGAAAATCAGGCAGATGAATAAGCAAAGAAAATCAAAAGATTGCAACTCCATCGGTGTTTGAGTATATTAATAAGCTGATGAGAGGAAGAAGAAACTAAATCTGAATTCCGGATTTGAGTCGATCTTGGATTCTGTTTATAACACGACAACTACATTACTAATTTAATGCAAACCAATAGGTTACAAAAGTCTAGGACTTAAGCGAATACAATCAGAGATATACTCGACGTTAGGACGATAGACGAAAAACATTAAAGCATAACGAACGATAAGGGTGGCAAAGAAGAGATCCATGGACCTATTGTTCCTTTTTCGGCCTTGGCAATTGATGTTAGGAGTTTTCAAGGCTCCTAGTCAAATGTTGTATAGTGAAGTAAGTTGTCGAACCAGTTCTGAGGGATTTAAAAGCACCGAGAATGCAAGTACTAACTTAATCTAAGTGCAATCGAATGTTTGGTTGGTTTTGAAGTTAACTAAAACTAGAATGCAAATAACAAAAATGATACTTTTAAACTATTNTTTAGACCTTGGGTGATCAGGTTCAAACTAAGATGGCAAGCTATCAATTAAACTGTCTGCCTTAGGCCTAGATACGATTCTAAACAAGCTCTATGTCTAGATGAATGTTCATTTGCTAACACATCTCAAGCATCAAATGTCTTTGGTTGAATAACATGCAAGCAATCATTAAGAACGGATCTAATAGCCATTTTAACACACTACAAGAAATAAGGGTTTTAATAGCACCCGTAAAGCGCTATCATACGATACCATAGCGTTGTAGAAAGCGCTCCAATATCGCCCGCGATAATAGGTCTGGTCCATTAGATAGCGGTTTTGTTATTCGCTATTGATATTATTTTATTAATAGCGTTTTCGTTTATGCAATTGTAATTTTTTTAAACAGCGTCTCTAAAATGTTATTATAACATTTTTACTATAGCAGTTTTTAAATTTTACTCTAGCAATTTTTAATTATTATTATAGTCTTCTATCAATAGCAATAAATATTTCATTGCATTTTTTATATGTAGTTGTTTCATTTCATTTATAACAAATTTAATTTAATATTTTAATTTTTAAAATAATACAGAATCGAAAAATTGTCAAAGAAAATAAATTCAAATTAATATTCTAATAAAATAATTCATTTCGTTATTTACACAAATCATCAAAACTTATCAAACATTCTACTACTAATAAGCCATCACAATCATCTCTAACATCTTTTCTCTTCCACCACCACCAAGCTTCTCAACTATCTTTTTTCCCTCGCTTCTGAACCAACTCCATCTCATCTCTTCTATCTTGCTCGAATCTAATCCATCTAATGTCTCTGCCGCTAACTGCAGGTCAAAACACACAAATTTGCTCAGCCCAGTAACAAACTCAGGTAAGAAAATGCAGTAGGCACATAGTCAAACAAACAAATGTCACCGAGTCAAGGAAGTGTTAAATACCAATTCAGCAACACAGGTTAAAGGAGCACGAAAGACTTAACCTCTGCCTTCTTCCAGTATCAAGCTCTCCATAAACAGAATAGTGTGAGTGTGAGGGCATACAATGATGGCATGAGCTCCTCTGTAGTAGCTGCTGGTGATTGTTCTGAAACGTTCTTGTCCTGCTGTGTCCCACTGTATACACGTAAAATACCAAAAGGGTGATTATGTGCTCTTTGTATTTTTTTAAAAACTGATTACGTTAAGTATTCAGCACAAGAACACTTACGATCTGGAGTTTGATAGTCTTTCCGTCCTGTTCAACTGTGCGGATTTTCTGCACCACAACATCAGTAGAGATTAATACTTTCTAATATGATTGTTTCCAGTTTTCTGCATATTAATAAACGATGAAATGAGAATGCTTACAAAGTAAACACCAATGGTACTGATGTAGCTATCCAGGTAAGAATCATCCTGTACACAAAAAAATCGAGATATCAAATTATAAGAAGGCAGGGAGTAACAACGAAACATACCATAGTGTAAAAAGAGAACTAAGTGGCAATTGAATTGAGTAATGGTTTTAGAGAAACAAGATATTGAACTTCAAGGGCCTATAGATTGTTATCATGTGTTCAATGTTAAAAGAGAGACAAAACTGCTCATCTGAGAAAGAAACTAGAGTTTTACTTACAGCAAATCTTAGAAGCAAGCAAGATTTTCCAACACCAGAATCACCGATAAGCAAAAGCTTGAACAGGTAGTCACTGCAACAAAATAAAATAGAGCGGTGAACATCATTACAACAATCTAAGTGAAAGCTCTTAAAAACTAATAAAGGATGGTGTCTGTTGCAATGGTTCAGTCATTAGAAAGATATGAATCATCAATAGGAGAATGAATGAGATCAAAAGGTATTTTCTACGTAATCAAAATAAGTTGCAGATCTCGGTCAAATTCGCGTAGATCTAACCTATTTAAGATTCAAAATCGAGAAATCGATCAGACCAAAACTAAAACACAAGAGGACCAACATTCACCGGTTATCATTCACCGTCAAGGCCAAGATCCTCCAAACATCTTCTCTTACGTCGATTGCAAAGGAATGGAGAGGAACTAGGACAGCAGAGGAGCAGAGTCTAGACGGAGGAGTAGAGAAGAGACTGAATCGGAGAAGAGGAGATCGAGAGAGGAGATAAAAAAAAATCTGGAGAGAGGAGATAAGAAAATATATTAAAAAGCGAAGCACTGTATCCATTAGATCAACTTCTATCAACGGTTTAGATTGAAAATTGATCAATCCTTGCCTTCTTCTTTCATTGGTCAGTGACAATTCACCTTTCTTAGTTTTTTTATCCTTTTTTTAATGATCTTATATATAAATGATTTTGTTTGATGAAAAATGAATGTTTTAAATATTTGTATATATAAACAATTGTTATATTTTGGATTTCTGATTATGATTTAGTTTCAATAATTAAAAAATGTAAATTTACAGATAAAGTTTATGATCAATTCAGGGTTTGGAATTTTGAGAATATGGTTTTGGTTTTGGTAAATATGGTTTGGGGTTTTTGGGATATGATTTGTGGTTTAAAACTAAAATTCATAGTTTAGTTTTCAAAAATAAAAGTTTAAATTTAAAATTTAGTGTTTATAATATAAAGTTTAAAGTTTAGATCTAAAGTTTTTAAGTATGAAGTGGAGTTTGAGGATTAGGGTTTGAGGAATAGGGTTTGGGGTTTAGGGTTTAGATTTTTTTTATCTAAAATACATAAAAATACTATTACATTAGAAATCAAAATTTAGTATTTGAATATTTATGTATAAAATGAAATTTCAAAATAGGGTTTGAGATATGTAATTAGGGTTTGAGGAATAGGGTTTGGGGTTTAGATTTTTTTTATCTAAAATACATAAAAATACTATTACATTAGAAATCGAAATTTAGTATTTTAATATTTATGTATAAAATGAAATTTCAAAATAGGGTTTGAGATATGTAGTTAGGGTTTGAGGAATAGGGTTTGGGGTTTAGGGTTTAGATTTTTTTTAATCTAAAATACATGAAAATACTATTACATTAGAAATTGAAATTTAGTATTTGAATATTTATGTATAAAATGGAATTTCAAAATAGGGTTTGAGATATGTAGTTAGGGGTTAAAATTAAGTCTAGCTAGTCACTTTGTTAAAATTATATATACTTAAATTTATCAACAGAAATGCTAAAGACTTTATAAATATATTGCAATAAGATTAATAAATATAATCTATTCTAATAAAACATAAGTAAATCATAAAAGACAATATTCTTTTCCATAACGATTCAAAACGTACAAAATCAATTCTGAAACANACTTAAATTTATCAACAGAAATGCTAAAGACTTTATAAATATATTGCAATAAGATTAATAAATATAATCTATTCTAATAAAACATAAGTAAATCATAAAAGACAATATTCTTTTCCATAACGATTCAAAACGTACAAAATCAATTCTGAAACACATGAACTCAAAGCAAAATACAACAACAAACTTGGTGATGAAGTCTGGTACGTTATATACATTTACACCATTGTTATGTTCCACACAACAACACAATCACAAGCATGTTCTTTGAGGTTGCAAAACAATTCCTCAGATCGCTAGAACCTCTGTAATCAAGTGTTGAGAAACATTTTTTGCTAGTTACCGCCATCGCCTCCTCTGCTCACGACCAGAGCCGCCTCCACTGTTTTATGTCAAGTAAATGCCAATCTGTTATAGTCCACAAAACACTTTACATTCTTAAACAAAACTAAAGTGAAGATCTTTCTTTACCTTACTATTTTTAGTGTGGAGCACAAAGGTGCCTTAATTGCGTACATCTATATACAAGAAGTATATGCAAACCGTGAAAGAACTTTTGGGGTTATATACCATAGAGTTAGTAGCATACAAGTGAAAGTAAAAGAGAGAGATAGTTATGTATAAACCTTCTTTAGATTCAAAAGTATACTGAACTAAGCAAAAGTAGATTTGTATAAGCATACCTGGACAGGCTCGATCAAGAAAGCACATGATGTCAAGGACACAATCGTACCTGAGCTTAAATAAGAGCCTGAAAGTATCACAGCTCCAACTGAGAACACGGACAAAGATCCGAGATAGATAACATGAACGATCTGAGGGATAAGCGACCTCAATCTCTTCTTCTTAAAACGTTTGGATAGATCAGCACTAGCAAACCTCAGAAACCTCAGTCTCAGAAACCTCGGCGTTATTAGCCTTCACAAACAAAATTGCAGGAAGCACCTATAGCTAAAAGCATCCACTTTAGTCATAAAAAAAATTCAAATTGTAAGAATAGAGGAATAAGAGACTAATACTTCATTCAAGTAGGCGGAGAGTAACACATTCACACAGATAAAGATTTAATCTTTGTACAATTTACTGTAAAAAAGGTAACAACTTTCTCATCAATTGAAATAAGATCAAATCATAAACAGATACAGATTAATCAATCTTCTCAAACCCAAAGAGAAACATATATCACAAATTCTACACAAGCAAACACAGAATAAGAACATAATAAACCCCAAAACCAATACTTATATTTGGTTATGGAGAAGACTTTGAACCGTTGTTGGCTTTGTCTTCTCCACTGGAGACAAAGCAGAGAAAGGCCTGAGAGGAAGAAAAAAAGGAGACGACTTTAGAGGACGGGAGAGGGGATAAAGTAGGTTTCTGTTTAATATCGTCGCTGAAGAAGATATGAATCATAAATCAAGTAACGAATTAGGGTTTTTACTCGAATCAGAGAGGGAGAGATGGTGGATGAGAGAGATAGCGATGGTGGTGACGAGCTGCTGTTGGTGGTGGTAAAGAGCGTCGGTGTCAAAAGGAGTGTGGTGGTGAAGCTTCCATCGACGGTGGAGAGAGACCAAATCTGAGAATTTGAGGAAGCCAATCTGACACTTGCTCTGGTTTGAAAAAAAAAAAAAAAAAAACTCAGTTATTTTGTGTATAAAGCCTAGAGAAAAAACAACTTAAAGTATTTTGATTAAAACTAGAGATATACAATAGCATTTTATTTTGGATATGCAATCTTAAGGTGCTTACACTTAGTAAATTAACGCGCCTAATTTTTTTCATTTTCCCGCGATAACAACTATAGCGTTTTAAATTGATAAACGCTATAAAAAAAACAAGTATTAATATATAATAGCATTACTGTCATAAACGCTATAATCTGATGCTATTAATACCTACATTTCTTGTAGTGACACCTTTAACAACAAGTGTCCCTGGTAAAGACTGTTAAAAGCTTAAAGGAGTTGACTCAGACATTTCATCGAACACCTGTCGGCTGAGAAATGTCTAGAGATCAACCTTTGAGTGATCAATTCAAAGGAGGCTTTAAGACTACTCTAATATGCAAGGAACAAGAGAAATCTACACTTAAAACGTCTTAGCTCTAACCT